GTCGCTGGCGACTCACAGCAGCCCAGCTCCAGGTTGAGCTGTTGTTCAGCATCTTAGCTGTAGAGGGCAGTGTCACTGGTCCTCATATGTGGGATCCGAACCGGAGCCCTCTGGCGTCCCAAGCCAGATCTTAACCATCACGCCACTCAGCTGGCCCTGTCACTTGCTTTATTTAAATTTTTTTATGACTATCACTCCTTAGTGTGTACTTTTTTTATTTTAAGATTTTTTTTATTGGGGAACAGTGTGTGTTTTTTTTCAGGACTCATCAGCTCCAAGTCAAGTAGTCATTTCAATCTAGTGTGGAGGGCACAGCTCAGTGGCCCATGTGGGGATCAAATCAGCAACTTTGGTGTTATGAGCCTGCGCTCTAACCAACTGAGCTAACTGGCTGCCCCATTAGTGTGTACTTTTGACAGTGTTTCCGACAGTTGGAAAGCCGTATGTTTTCAGAGGGTGGCGTCTTGGGGTGGTGGTCCGAGAGTTCTGATGCCTGTGACTGACTGTGGCTGTGCCCCCGTGGTATTTGGTGTCCCTTTCCCAGGGAGCAGGTGGGGACTGTTGTTCCAAAGTGGAGGGAAGATCTCCTGAGGCCTTTCAGCCATTTTTGACTGAAGTTGGCTTCAGGCCCTGGGCCAGGCATAGCCGGTGAGACAAAAATTACCGGGAGACAAAACCTGGGGACCTCTGGGCTTTGTGCTGTATCTAGGGGCCTCCAGGTGGGTGACATGTGAGAGTTGTAAAGGGGGCACTGTTAGTAATCACTCAGGACAACCACCAGGGAGTCAGTCTACTCATCTGTTTGTCTGGGTGACCCGGCCCCTGGGTGGTGGGGGCCTTCAGGGGCCCCCTAGCTGAGCCTGGACTCTGCAGCTGGGCTCTCTCACGGGGTCCTGGTCTCCCCCGCAGCCCCCCTCTCTACACAGGGCTTCGATGTGGAGCACACCGCTGAGCTGCAGGGCATCCGGTACGCCTGCAGCCTTCAGCAGGAGGCCTCCGGCTACTACCGCACGCTGACGCCCACTCTGGAAACGCTGGTGAGGGCCTCCCGGAAGCAAGTGGGCTGCTTGGGTGGCCAGGGGCTTCAACCCAGGGGAGCTCCCCAGGCCCCAGCGAGCCCAGCAAGGGGAGGCCCAGGCAGAGCTGGGCAGTGAGGTGGGCCCTTGCAGGGAACAGGACAAAGCAGGTGTGGCAGAACTGGTGTGCAGAGGAGAATGGTGTCGGTAGGAACTGACTCCAGCAGGCCATGTTTAAAGGTTGCAAATTGTATTATGGTAAAAAATCAGAACCCTCATACATGGCCAGTGGGAATGTGAAATGAGGCAGCTGCTGTGGAAAACAGTCTAGCTTTCATAAAAAAGTTGTTAAATATAGAATTACTATCTGACCTAGCAGTTCCGCTCCTTGGTATTAATATATACCCAGGAGAAATGGAAGCACACATCACACAAAAACTTACATGCATGTGTTCACAGCAGCCAAAAAGTGGAAACATCCCAGATGTCCCTCAGCTGATGATGGATAAACACAACGTGGCCCATCCACCCACTGGAGTGTCACTCAGCTGTGAAAAGGAGAGGAGGCACTGACACTCGCTACAACATGGATGGACCTTGTAAAAATGCTCAGTGAAACAAATATCCATTTTAAAATTTAAGCATGAATTAATTAAAATTTACAAATCATTTCCTCAGTGGCACCAGCCACGTTTCAAATGCTCGGTAGTCACCTGTGGGTGGTGGCTGCCATACAGGGAGGGGCAGATGTAGAACATTCCGGAAATTTGTGGAATGTTATATAAGACAGGGCAGGTCTAGATGCAGGCAAGCCCTGTCCCCATCAGCAGTCACTCCCCATCACCCAGCCCTACTTCCAGCCCCTGACAACCACTAACCTACTTCCCATCTCTGAGGATATGTCTGTTCTGGACATTTCATATAAGTGGAATCACACACTGTGGCCTTGTGTCTGGCTTCTATCATTTAGCATCACGTTTTCAGATTCAGCCACGTGGTAGCGAGTGTCAGTGAGTGCTTCACTCCTTTTCGTGGCTGTGTAATATTCCACCTTGTGGACACATTTTATCTAGCTGTTGATGGAGGAATATTTTTATATGAATAACTTTGAAATGCCCTTTCCTGTCATTCACACTGCTTGGTGAAGTCACTGCATGTATTGGATCTAAGAGGAGGTGCTTTTCTGCCCCCACTTCTCCAGCTCTCTGCACACAGCAGGTCTCCTCGGGGATGGGAGCCCATGCTGCAGTCTCAACATTGCTGCTGTGTTTCCATTGCAGTTTGTAAGCAGCTTTTGGAAGACAGAGTTGGAGGCCAGCTGCGTGGGCTGCACAGTGCTAAGTTACAGGTGTGTCGGGGCCTCCCTGGGGGTGAAGGAACCTTGGTGGATACCCCAAGATGCCGGAAGAGTCCAGGGAGAGGAGCCCTCCCTCCAAAAGCCTCTCTCCTGCCTGCAGAGATGGGAACTCCAGTGTCCTAGTGCGTTTCCGGCTACACTTCCTGCTGTTGGCCCTGCGGTCACTGGATCTGGCCCTGGAACAAGAGCTGCTGCAGCAGGGGCTCCGAGCAAGGCTGCAGGGCCACGGCGTCCCACTAGGTGCCCACGGCACCATCGTGTCTGCCAAGCTCACAGGCAAGTAAGCAATAGAGACCCGAGATGTTGCGAGGGACATGCTGTGCGACGGGAGCATTAAACTTGGGGTTTTCAGGCCGGCCGAGTGGCTCATTGGTTAAGAGTTGGCTTGGGAGCATGAGCTCTGAGAAGCAGGGCCACCGGTTCGGATCCCACATAGGCTAGTGACACTGCCCTCTACAGCTAAGATGGTGAACAACAGCTTGACCTGGAGCTGGGATGCCGTGAGTCACCAGCAACAGTGTAGGCTACAGTGGGGCTGCAGTGGGCTGCCGTAAGCTACTGTGAGCGGCCGGCGGTGTGAGCCGTCATGAGCCGCCGACCAATGGCCGGCAACCCATCTGCCTCAGCCAGGAAGAGCGCAATGATCACAATGCCAACATGGGCCAGTGAAGCAACTTCCTCCACAACTATACTGAAGAACAAAAGGACAGCAACTTTTCTGTTCCCCTTCCCTGATTCCCCAATGCTGTTCCCTCCCCCAATTCCCCAATAAAATCTTTAAAAAAAGAAAAAAAACTTGGGGTTTTCAATAATCGCCCCCTCCCATAAAAAGAAAATGCACACACGCTGCTTCACTCTCCAGGCGTCAACAACCTGTAAATGGCCAGAGTGTGAATATTTTCTGTCTTTGCAGCCCACTTGACTCTGCTATTGTAGCACAAAAGCAGCCCAAGACAATGCATAAGCGAATGGACACAGCTGTGTATCAATAAAACTTTATTTACAAAAACAAGTGCTGGGGCGGATTTTGTCGACTCCAGGTATAGAGATAAACATAAATGCTAAACTCTAAAATCTGAGGATGCCTCAGACTGTTGTCAGATTGAAAATGGATCATCTAGCCCTTGCCCTACGGGACAATTATGGTCCCTTCCCCACTAACCCTGACACACCTGAGAGTTGAATCTTAGTGACCTAATAGAATTTTCTGTGGTGGTGGAAATGTTCCATGTCTGTGCTGTGGTAGCCAGCAGCCCCATGTGGCCATTGAGCACCTGTCATACAGCCAGTGAGACCACAGTGCTCCATTTGGTTTCCTCTTAATGGATTTCAGTTAGGCTTTAAGTGGCTCCCGTGGTGGATGGCTCGTGGTCTGCTTTGCAATGTGATGTTTTCAAAGAACATTGCCACCCACTGACTGAGCTAATATCTCTTCACAGGAAGCCAGAAGGGGCCTTTGACAGAAAGAGACTTGAAATCAGGTATGCTTTCTCCCTGTCCTGGGCTCCCTGCCCTCTGCCAGGTTTCCTGTGATTGCAACCACTGCGAGAGGGTTCCTAAGACTGGGTTCTCCTAAGAATACAGCCAGGGTGAGCAGCCTCCTCCAGGGGACAGATTCACAGTCCTGTGTGCACACAGGGTTTGTGAATGAGGCACTTTGATTTATGTGACCAAGCATGACTGAGAGAAACGTTGGGTTTTTTAAAAATGGTGGAAGCCTGTTGTTAAAGAAAACACAAAAAACAGTTTATGGGGGAAAAAAGAAAAAAGAGTAAGTGTTACCTGGAATCTCATCACTTTTAATATTCTGGTGACGATCCTTCCAGACAGCTCATGACACATGTATAGATACACTTATTTAGCTTCACATCAGTGGTTCTCAACTAGGGGTAATCCTGTCCCCAGGGTACAGATGTCTGGGGACATCTGTGGTTGTCACACCGCAGTGCTCCTGGCATTGAGTGGGTGGGCCCCCCACAGAGAGTGACTGGGTTCCAATTAAAGTGGTTAAAATAACAAGCTTTATGTTGTGTGTTTTACCACAATTTTAAAAATTTAACTTCAGATTTCTCACTTTTTTAAAACATGGCTCCTAGAAAATTTGGGGGTGCACACATGACACACATACACTTCCTCTGCCCAGCGCTGGCTCCGTGCTGACCAACATCCTTGTGCTAAGCTTCTGCTAATTCTGAGAAAGTCACCTCAGAAATACCAGTGTCTGGGAGTGATGGAGTGAGGGTGGGAACCGGCTTTGCTCTGCCCTCAGGTCGCTGTCCAGGGAACGCCTTCTCCTGCAGCGACAGCCAGTGTGTGACCAAAGTGAACCCGGAATGTGATGACAAAGTGGACTGTTCTGATGGATCCGACGAGGCCCACTGCGGTCAGTCCACCCCTGCGGCTGGAGCCCACTCCCATCCCTTTCCAGGGTCAGCTGCTGCTGTGCTTTCTGGCCCACTTTGCACAGCACAGCCAAGTGGGGAGCCCTGGGCATGTCCTTGAACGTGGGGGTCTTGTGGATGACAGACTCGGACACAGATGTGCTGAGGGAGCGTGGCCATGGTCCTGCCTTCTTGGGGCCCTGGTTGGTGATCTGTGTCTTGCAGACTGCGGTTTGCAGCCGGGCTGGAGGACAGCTGGCAGGATTGTGGGTGGCATGGAAGCATCGCCCGGGGAGTTCCCTTGGCAAGTCAGCCTCCGAGAAAACAGCGAGCACTTCTGTGGGGCCGCGGTGATCGGGGCCAGGTGGCTGGTGTCTGCCGCCCACTGCTTCAATGAGTGAGCCCCACGCTCCTGTGGCCCAGAGCCCACCCCATCCCCATCCCCTACCTTCCCTGCCACCCTGAGGATGCCACCTTTCCTGGGCTCCCTCAGAGCCCATTGGAAGTCATTTTTGTCTTTTCTTTTCCTTGCCTTTTTTGGTTGAATCCAAATACATTCCTTTTTTAAAAAAATATTTTTAAATGGTGGTAAAACATGCATAACATGAAGTTGACATTTTAACTATCACAGTTCAGTGACATTAAGTACATTCACACTGCTGTGCAGCCGTCCCCACCATCATCTCCAGAACTTTCTCATCTCCCCAAACTGAAACTCCATCCCCATTAAACACTCACTCCCCTCCCCTCCCAGCCCCTCGCCCCCACCATCTGCTCTCTTTCTCAGTGAATCTGATTCCTCTGGGTGCAATCACACAGTGTTTATTCTTCTGTGTTTGGCTTCTTTCACTCAGTACAATGTCCTCAGAGTCCATCCACGTTGTAGCAGGTGTCAGAGTGTCCTTGCTTTTTAAGGCTGGATAACATTCCAGTGTGTGTATATATAATATTATGTCCCCCTTAACATTTCTCACCCTAATCTGAACACTGTTGGAGCCTGTCTTTGTTTAAAATGTTGCTAATTCCCACACTGTGGTTTTTTTGTTTTTGTTTTTGCATTGTGATTTTTGACAATGTTGCTTAAGAATATCATCAGTCTCGATGACTGAGTTTTGGGGCGCCCCTTCACATTTGCCCGGGTGATCGCCTTGCCCTCCGGCCAGTCTGCGGGGGTGGGGGGTGGGGGTGGGGTGGGGATGAGGGAGCTTCAATGTCCTTGCCCACCCCCCACCCCCACCCCCTGCGCTCCGCTCTGCGCTCTGAGCTGCCTTTGTTCACACTGCAGGTTCCAAGACCCCACTGAGTGGGTGGCCTATGCGGGCACCACCCACCTCAGCGGCTCGGAAGCCAGCACGGTGCGGGTCCGCGTGGTGCAGATCATCACGCACCCCTCCTACAACTCCGACACCGCCGACTTTGATGTGGCGGTGCTGCGTCTGGGCAGCCCCCTGCCCTTCAGCAGGCACATCCAGCCCGTGTGCCTGCCAGCCGCCTCACACATATTCCCGCCCAGGAAGAAGTGTCTGATCTCGGGCTGGGGCTACCTCAAGGAGGACTTCCGTAAGCACTCACCTTCTCAGAGAGAAAACCCTGCCAACAGGTCGTCCTCCTATCTTATCTGCTCGCGGTTCCGGATTTGCGGACTCACCTACTTGCTAACATTTGTCTGGAACCCCAAAGGGGCACAAACAGGAATCTGTGCAGACTTGCGGACATGCACAGAGCGGTGATAAATTGCAGTTGGAACCAGGCAACATCTGCCTCCTTGTTTCAGCTCAGACGTAAAGCATGGTCCTTTTCCTGTACATTTCTTGCCACGTTTTTTGCATTTTTGTGCTTTTGTGGCAGATTGTGCTGTATGGCCCCCAGCATAGAGCTGATGTGCTGGCTGCTGATCCTGAGAAAAAGGCTGGGACATGCCTTTGGGAAAAAAGCAAGTGTTAGGCCGGCTTCCTTCAGGTCTGAGTTACAGCACTACTGGCCTTGAGTTCAGTGTTAATAAGTCAATGATACATTAACCTAAAAATAAAAGTCCTTTCAAAGTGAGAGGCAACAAGCATTTACTTGAGATAAAAAAAACAATAGCTTTTCAGGAACCATTCAGACAGAAGAGGGAGAACAGTATTTAGGAAGAGGCCCAGAGAGGTGACACCTTAGCTAAGACCTGGCCAATTAGGCAAAGCCAGACAAGCAAAGCGTTAGAGGACAGGAAAGTATCCTGCAGCGAGAATCCCCATCATCGAGCAAAGTTCTATTGGACAACGTTGGTCCAGAGCATTCTAGAGCTACAGGGTCCAATACAACAGCCACTGGCCTCAGGCCAACTCAGCAGGTGAACAGATTTTTGTAGACAGTGCCTGTCAATGACTCTTGAGCCAGGAGGTGGGGTTCCCAGTGGCAGAAGCCCTAACCCCCCACCCCCCCACCCCCGCACACACACCCTGTTCAGGGTCTGAGAATCTGAGAATCTGACACAGCCCAACCTCCCTAGCAGTGCCCACCAGCCTCCATTCTGGAGTTTTCTCAGGTCTGTGTCTGCCTGAGAAGAAAGAAAAATCCTGGAAGAATAGGATTTTTGTGATAAGGAAAGATATTTGCCACAAAGACAGAAGATCTAAATATCTAATTAGGAGAGAAAGTTGTTGATGACTCAATTCAGTCAATAAACAAAAAGCCCCTCCAGCTCACCAAGCATTGCTCCAGCGACAGGCAGAAAGCAAAGCACACAGGGCCGACCGAGTGGCGCGATGGTTAAGAACTGGCTTGGGA